CGATTAGAAACCATATTTAAGTATTTAATCCTACGATTGGCGTGGATCAAAATCTAGATAGTTATATAAACAGAAGGACAAAATGAAAAAGGATAGAAATAAGAGTTTTTATATATTATGTTCTCATTCATTAATGATTGTTAACTCTCTCTCTATCTTCGGTATAGAGCTGTAAAAACAGATTGTACTATACCGGTCAAATCCGGTCCTACTCTGCACTCAGTACTCACTATCTAACTCCCATTTTTTTCTTATATTTTTCACAGTATTAATCAATACTGTGAATTTTACAAGTGTCCAATCGGGTTTTCGGTTTAATCTCGTTCGGTTTAGCCAATTCTTGTGCCCTTTTTTTTATTGAAGATCACATGAGCCTTCGTAAGACTCGCCCAACTCTGTTTGATCCATTGGGCCAGTAACCAAGTTTCACCATCATTACTTTTAATTTACCAAATAATCAAATTTCACCATCCAATTATTTTCAAAAATGATGGATGACAAAATCGGAATAAATTGTTTTACATGAAAAGTAAATTAAAAAATCAAACGAACTTCAACAATAATTATTTTTTTAATGGGGCAATTACAAAAATGCCATTTTTTGTGTGTACATTTGCAAGAATGCCACTTAGGAGTGTCTATTTACAAAAATGCCACTAATTATAGATTTATAAAACCTATATCTTAGAATTCTAAACCCTAAAAAATATTTTGACACCTAAAACTCCCTAAACACTCAAAACTAAACCTTAATAGAACATAATCAACCCAAACATAAATAATATAAAGAAAAAATAATTTTGAAAAAGTGGTATTTTTGTAAAGATTTCAAAAGTGTGAAATTTTTGTAAAGTGGCATTTTTTGAAATTTCTCTTTTTTAATTCAGTTTTTATATATTACAACCCCCAAAACTCAAACAAATCCAAACTTAGCACCCTTTTGAATTGCAGGGACACAAGACTTAAACAAACACAAAATGATACACAACTCAAGCTTAATTCAAAACCACAAAATTTTATACATTAATAATTAAATGTCTCAAAAAACTATCTTAACAATGTTTTATTTCTTTTTTTCGTAAATCATTTCATGGATTCTCTAACGCAGAGTAATGTAAAGAGGATCTACCAACAAAATAAACAATGAAAGTAAAAGAAGTCAAGAGTCTCTCACTTGTAGAGATATTCCATGACACTCCTCAGCTTTACAACATCTACGCCTACGATCTCTGCTTTCTTTACGCCTCCTTTAAAGAATTGCAGGGTTGGCTACATTAATCGTAATGATCCATTAAAGCTCATATAGATAAAAAAAAAAAACTAGTGTACATGCCTGATCATACAATGTAATGTTTGATAAGAACAGAGAATGTTACCACAGCAGCGACATTTAATTTTCCAATAGCATTTGAAAGGCCGCGCTACAAAATACACAAGAACAGATATCTTTGTCAATGACATTATAAGAAGACGGGATACAGAGAAAAAAGCGGAACTGGAATCAATTATATAATTAGTTTTTCTACTAAGTGACTAAAGTCGCATTCAAGTGCGATGTAACATCAAGCAGAGTGTAGAAAATCTTCGTTTATATCTCAATTAAAAGCTTCTAATAACATAACAAAACCATATAAAAGTAGTGGCTTAGGTCGCATGATGGCTTTATAGAGTTATGCTAGTGAACATATATACGCAAACATACCTCGTCAATGTCGACTTTATATGTTGTTACATGAGGATATTTCTCACTGAGCTCCAACATTACAGGAGAGATAAGCCTGCCTAAAAGTAAATCAGTAAAACACTAAATCAATAAAGCCACTCGACGAAACAATAGTTATCCGGAACCAAAACTCGCTTTCAAGGAACTAAACTTACAAGGTCCACACCATGCGGCAGTGTAATAGAAAACCGATGACACAGATCCGTCTGAAAAAAAAATGGAAACACATTAAAGACAAAGATAATGATCCTCCTAAACAATAACAAAGATTGTTTATATACCTCGAGCTTTGCTCAATGCATTGTTAAACTCCTCCTCCGATTTCAACTCTACAAAGCTCGATCGATCTATTTAAACAAACAATCTCATTATCAGAAAATTAAAACAACCAAACAATATCTAAACTTTAATTACATCAAGCTAAAGCTAAGATCTTTTGTTCAATCATACAGAACCAAATTAAGCCCTTACTTCCAGCTACAAAGCAGAAGCTTCTACGATCAGGAAGACAAGTATTTGAGAAGTTGAATTCGTTCGTAACGCAAACAGTGGAAGCAGCTATGAAGGAATTTCTCGCAATCTGCAAAAGACAACGAAGTTCGATGGATAGTAATCAGAGATTGAGTCGGAATCGGACAACGTCGATGAACCAGAGAAAGAGAAGAGAGAAAGAAACCTTATGGAAATTAGACCAGTTACTACTACTCTTCATCGTCTCCGATTTCAAAGTCTCGATTTTAGGGTTTTCTCCAAAATTCCGATTTGAAGCTTTTTTTTCTGGTTTTCCCCAGCGACGGGCGAACTAAAACAAAAGCAATAAATTACAAAATGACCCAACATAAAACTCTGATTCTTAAATTAACCCCGTACAAAAACACACACACAAACGACAACGTTTTGATTAAATACATTTTTGTTAAGAAACGACGTCGTTTTGAGATGTA